TATCGAAGGCTCTGATATGAGAATCGAAAGGGTCATGACAATTTTACGACAATTTAGAACACTCTGGTAATCGATAAACTCGCAATTGAATGGGATAAAGGGAAAAAAAAGTGTTGTATGTGCTTCTATGCTAAAACGATGGTAATACGAGGTCTCGGAGTGAAAATTTAATTGACCTGGAAATCACAGATGGCGCAGGCGTCCCTCTGCAGTCAATTAGAGCCCCGGAAAGCATGAATCCAGAGGATTTCTGGAGTTTAACTTTGATTTCTTTATAATTATTGTACGAAAACGTCAGGTGGAGTATGCCATTTGGTACAATACCCAATATAATTCGACCCAGCTGTCAATATAAAAACGAACATCGGCAACGTAGGTATTTAGTAAAATCTTCTTTATCGACGTCGATCAAATTCCTGGACGTGTTTCACCTCACCTTAAACATCCGTGTAGAGAGATATGCAATTCCCGCGGAGTTTTTCTTTTTCCCCGCGCTTCTCAAGAACATCGATAGGAAGAATCGGGAAACTTCATTAATCTAGAAGATCCCTAACATTAAATTAAATAAAACGAATCGGTTCGCGCGTCGTCTCATGGTACATCTAGGACTACCTCGTTAAAACAACCAAAGAGAGAGAAAAAAGAGAGAACGCGCGCACTAAACCATAAACGGAGCAAAACAATCGGCTCGTTTTGTCGTTGCCGAGTCTCTTATTTTCGTCTCCTCCGCCTACTTGTCCGGAGGTTTGGGCTCCCTATCATTTGTGGCCTAAATAAAACTGATCCCAAACACGTCGTGTCGCCTTCGCGTCTACAATTACCAACGGTTAGAATTTTATGCCGATAGGAGCACCGAACCCTGGGAGACCCGCACGGAATATATCAAAGACTCGGGAAACTTTGCCCCGCCATTTGCAGCGAAGATAAACACCGCGATCAATGTAGTATCGCTGCGACTTCGCGAGCAGGGAGGAAGTAAATGGTAATAAAACTCCCACCCTAGCGCTGCGCACTCCTCGGGTACTCTTTTGATTTAAAATTAGACCCTACCGTAAGAAACACCCGCACCCAGCAGTGTTCCTCCTTCGCCGAAACTCCAGCCCCTGCCCACTAACTCGTGGCTCCGAGCAACACGTATATTTACCCATAAATATCCCCCCCCCCCCCCTCCAAAATCGTTCAACCTCGTCTCGGCAAAGTGGAACGATAAGGGATTCCTAACGAAGTACCCCTCTTCCGGATACCAAACCACTCGAGGCGACGTCCATCTCCCTGCACATTCGCGACGAACCTTTCCATGACGGCGACGTCGTTGGGCGAGCGCGCTCGCTCGCTGCGTTCCATTTTCTTCGAACGTCGCCAACGGGCTCCCGTCACGGTGTCGTCGCCACCGCGGGAGAGAGTCACGGAGGGAGTGAGAGAGAAAGAGGGCGCTCGTGCGGGGAAAAAAGAGAGCGCGGGGCGTACTTCTTGAAATAGCAGCGGTTCCATGCGCGTACCGTACGGTCGGTTATGCCTCTGCGTTAAATCATCGACCGACCCCTCCAGTGTCGTCGGTTCGGGTGCCCTGAGACGCGACAAAGGTGACGTCGGTGGTCGAAAGGTTGAGACACGCGGTGACACGGGCGCGCGACGTCACGTGGCCGCCACGGCTGCGTACGCAACTCGGAGGAACGACGACGCACGCGGACATTCGCGGACGTCGCGGCGGGACTGATCGCGAGGGCCGAGCCGGCCGAGCCACAGGTGTCATCGGTTGGCTGCGCCCCCGCCACCTTGCCTCTCTCGCGCTCGCTCCCCCTCCACCGCTCTTCGCGCGCGCTCCGCCCGGCGCGTAAGATATTTGCGAGACTCTCGCCGAGCCTCTCGCGAGGCCCGCCGTGACACGTAGCACGCGCATGCGGCCGCAAGTGGGACCGCCGGCTACCGAAAGCTTCCCTCTCGCGCCAATCGATAAGGCACGGAGGATAAAGGTCGACGGAGCAACAGGAAGGCTGCGCCTGAGACCAGAGCGAGAAAATCAGTTAAGAGTGAAAAAAATATATATAGAATGACCCTTTCATATGTGCCCATAATTATGAAAGTGGTCTAAGTCATATATTTTTTGTTTCGAAATTACATTGAATTAATTTCCTTTAAAATAATATGGCGTGAAATAACTGATACTCATTTTTTTTTTATNTACGTTACCTATATTACGTACAGGAGGCCCTAAGGAAGAACGCGATGTTTGTGAAATTTCATTTTTTAAAGAAAATCTCTTTTTTTGGTTCTTGTCTGAGATAAATAGACATTTTTTGTTTGAAAAGTGAAATTTCACGAGCATTGCGTTTTTTATTGGGGCTTTTATAATCACGCGTTGAAGTTTCTAATTATTCGGTGCACTTAATTTGGAGAAAAGTTTTATAAATATTTTTACTTTTTGGTATGTATATGTGAGACTTTCATGTCGCCTTAATGGCCACCGTTTGCAACTGTATCGAATTTTCTTAGGCTTGGATTCATCGAGTCCGTTGGGCTCGTCATCGTTACACTTTCTGTGCTTATACATGTAGAGTGAAAAGTTGATTCGCGTTAAAGAGTGAAAGAATCAATAATACTGTTTAACAATACTTTTAAATGAATTAATAATACTCATGTAACGAACTAGAATGTAATGGAATTACCAATATGTCTGACGTTTTCTCAAACCTCTAACGGATCCTGGTGAATTCGATCTCGCATCGATTTCAAATAATTTATTTGTCTTTAATAATTGTTTATATCACGTACCAGATTTTTGAGCGCGATCCAACATTCAATGCAAAATGTAACATGGTTTTCATTAGTATTCTTGATATTCGAGATCCACTTTGTCCATAAAATACTTTTAGTAAAATTTTATCCACTTAATATTAATTGGCCATCATTTGGGTTGCGTTACTTATGGTTTTTACAAAATCAGTTTTACCGGAGCCAAGAAATTTCTTTAGCAAGAGACGTTTAGATTGCATATTTTACATTTAGAAGTAATTAATTTATCCTAGAAAGTAAATTTTTTACTTAGCGTATCATGGAGTCGAGTCATTATTTCGTTACATCATCGATCACATTATCAATACCAAGCTAACTTATTGCTGGATATCTAAAATACAGATTCCACTTCCTATGTTTTTCCTTGGATTAATATTAATATAATAGTAACATCCGCAAGCTTATTGTAACGACACTAACTTTAATCCAAGTTTTTACTTAAAATTCAAATGCAAATAACTAGATCGTAATTTTACATAAAATTAAAGTAGTAAATAAATAGAAGGAACTAGGACGTTTCAATCGTGCTATCTCCTAGTACAGGACACTGTTATTCGTCGTCATTAAAATCGTATTGTACGGCTGTGATTAAATTTTCTTGGCAAATTGGATTTATGCTGTGCTTTTGCGCTCACTATCGATTGCTATCTCTTAGATATTAGAATTGCTCTATGATATATTTTTAATTGGCACAATGTCTTGTCTCTTTTGCCTTGAAACTTTCTGGCACGTGCTCTAAAGATAGTATGCAGTAAGTACATCACTCCTGTGTGCACATGAATTTGCAAAGCACACGTATGCGTGGTTGATATACACGTGACACGCAAAAAAAGTGGTTAATACGTTTCCATAAGCATCGATCTATAAAGAAAGAAAAGAATGAGGGCAACTTTTTAAGTGCGTGGATGCCTGTTCATTTAAAGGTGATTTGGTCTAGGATTGAAGATTAACATCAGTTTAATGACTATGTCATTTAAATTTTTGTGATACCGTTATAATACCGCCGTAACATAGTTTCACTACGGATAACGATTCCCCGTGAATAGCCATTTTTTAGTACAGAATATGAAAAGATAAAATTAATTACCATTTCCATTTACATAAATTTGTAATAAGTAGGTATATTAACAAATATAGAAACTATAAGAACTGCCTTTTACTATCACTTTATTTTTATTTACTTTTAAAATAAATTCCCCGCTTACTAACTTTAAAAGAGATACAAATTGTGAAATTTATTTCAGCAGTTACCATTATTTCTTTAACACCTTGTTTTATAATTTAATTCGAAATACAGAACGTTATAATGGAGCATACTCTGTATGCATATCACAATCCTGACTTGCGTTTCTTATGTTTTGCGCATAAAACGTGTCATGAGTCTCATGCGATATTATATGATAAAAGATTACAGTAGACTCCCGTATAACGCGAGTTCTTACAACACGAAATTCTATTACGCATCGAAAATATTGTAACTACTATTTTCATGTAACGCGATTCTTCGTCCAACGCGCCAAATAACAAAAAACATTTTGCGCGTTCTATGAGAAAAATTCCCGTACAGCACGATTTCTTATAGCACGTAGTGTATTAACCGCATTATACGGGAGTCTACTGTAATTGAAATCATTCAGTGAACATTTTTTATTTTTGTCTTGTTAATGAAAGAGGAATGCAAACACCCTGCCTTTGATATCAATAAACAAATTTTATTTTCTTGGGGCCAATTTCACAGACTTAATAACGTTAATGACGGCATTTTAAAAGGAAAAAAATAATCATTATTTCAGTCGTGCTTGTTCAAATTGAGGAACATGAACAGGAAAAATTGTATTGAGCGACAAAAAATTACCAGTTATTTATATTATCTGGACGAGAAATCGCGCATCTTTTAGCAATGAAGATCAAGTATCCGGTCAATAAAAGAGAAAAATGATCACTGTCAGTACTGATTATACAATAAATAGTTATGTTGTCACTCCAGACCACCAAAAGGCGCAAAACATTTCCTTTTGCTCAGATATGTTACCGCATGACCTCGAAGCATTTATTTAATCGTTCAATTTGTATCTTCCACTGCCTCGTCATCATGGAATTCCCTACTCTTAAATTCCATTGACAATAGAAAAGATATTACATAATTATATAAATCAAGCCAGTGCAAAAAACAAAAGAGTAAAATGGCACAGGAGCAGCACTCGAAATCGGGAATAATTCAAATAGATATTTATTCAAAAACCAGTGTATCTCGTGACAAAACATATAACGCGTATTGTCGAGGCAACGTATATACGGTGCGCTCGTCCACACATACTTTGTTCTTCGTAATAGTTATATATTCTTATATGCTTGTCTGTATGTATATTATTTTAATAATTCTATAGCATTCATCATTTTTCCTTACATATACAATGGATCATTGTAACATCAACTGTGTCGGTAATGCATATTTCTAGTTACATACAGTATTGATATGGCGCGTAGCCGATAGCAGTGCGGTACAACGCTATTCCCTATGAATTCCTCGGATCGACTTCGCCTAGTGACATTGCTCGAGAGAAGTGTTTCTCCGTTCTAACGGCCATCCTTGATCGTAAGGTATGAATTAACAGTCAATTTTCAATTGGTCTACCGCCGCAATTAAACAGAATAGAACAAGTTAATTCCTTGGTATTATTTGCAGGAATTAACCGTCTCCGCGCGCTTCAGCAATCCTTCACGACCTATGTCGATGTGGACAATATCTATAACCGTATAGAATCGTAACGAATCGATGCTACTCTTCCGTGTAAAATCCTTCTGTAGATTTATCTTTTCCCATCTGACGCAATAAAAATAAGCAACTTTTCCATTTAACAATGGTACCATTAATCACGAGCGATAAGATTTAAAATTAACGCGAATTAAGATTTGAAGAACTGGTATGGGCACGGAAGGGATAATATAATCGCTCCTCGCGCTTTCTTTTCGACATTTTTGTGACGATCTGGATGTGCATAATTGTTATTAGAGTATTGCTCGGTCGAGCAGAAACTGCGTTGCACTTTTTTTCTCCGTAGAGGTTTACAGCGATAAAAAGGAAGGTACTCGTCATCTATTTAAGAAATACGATGGGTAACTCTTCGCATTATATTCATTAAAAATCTGCCGCTCTAACAATGATTTGCTCGCGTCAAGACTTCACTTAATACCGCGCAGTTTGACAAGGAATGACTGGGAGATGACCGATCATACCGAGTCGTTGAATCGCAGATATTCGCAGGGTCGTCCAGACACATCTGTATCATTACTACTGCAAACTATTTTATATACTTTAACTGTTATCAGATTGGGCCTACATGAACGCACGAAAGCAAAGTGCCTTCTTACATGTTCATTGTACATTGTTTTTCGCTTAAATCGCCGATACCGGTGTTGGTTGGTTCGTTCGGCATCCTCAATTGATTCACTTGACGTCCACACTCTCATTTGGCTTTTCGCGTGGTTCTCGGTCCTCACCAATTTCGATATATTTCTTTTTTACAATTAGCCACTACTCCATCAGGGCGGAAGTGTGCGATAGCTCGTGTTTGTACAATTGCACGAAGAAAAACGTCAGTATCCATCTAATCATGGTTCAGATCCGTCAGCATCGTCGCGTATACATTTGTCAACGTCTTTCATCCTAACATTCCCGGCTTCGCTTGAATTTCATTGAATTTTACTGGAGTTCTGGTCCACGAAAAACATGGATCGATCAAGGCTTGAGTCCTACCGGAAGTATCCCTTCAAATAGCATCGTAAGGCACATTTTCGACACCTCCCCAAATAATTCCCCGTTAACATTTTCAAGCTCCGACAGGCGGTGAGTCGAATCAGTTGAGAGATCGTCGCTATCGCGAGGACGCGAAGTGACAACTATCCAAGGAGATGTGCCTTATCGTCGCATTCGCCGAGAGGCTTCTGTCGTCCTTCTCCCCGTCTCGCAAATTCGCCCGCGTAACAATTCTCGTGGCCGCGATACAGGAGGCAGCTTCCTCGAGATAGCGTTAGTACGAGCAAAGTGATACGCGATTTGCGAAGAGAGAAAGAACACATCCCGTCCGCGTTAGCAGTCTTTGTCACTTTGGTGAATCGTGTACCACCCACTCCGTAACGCCGGGAAACAACGGTAGGTATTGCAATAAATATGGTGTAGCGAAGGCCTGATTGCGACGACTGCGACCCGTTAGAACCTGGCCCTGATGTAAACCGCCGAGGCATCGTGCTGTCCATATCCCAGACGTTTAGCGTGTTTGTAGACCTCGTTCGCTGCTGCTGCCAAAGGCAACGGCTGCTCCAGCTGATCGCTCATTCCCAGCGACAGTCTTAGATCTTTCTGCATGTGCTGCAGCGGAAGCTGCGTCGGAAATCCCCCTTCTATGATAGCTGTAATCAATAATGCACGGTAAGAAGGAAATACAGAAATGCTTAAAAACTGTTATGAGTCTAGTTTCTTTCGACAGAAGAACCAAAAAATGGTTTTACATGTGTCATTTGATGGGTTAAATAGTACTTAAATGCGGGGCCAAACGAAGGACTTCTCGTAACAAGGTACTTCGATTCGAGAGGCAGATTTCATTCAACTGTAGCAATCATTTATCACAAAGTAAGGGTATCCCTTCCTTTTCTAGGGAATATCAACACGAGGGTGGACGTCTGTAAAGATAAGTTCTACCGAAAAGTGTAAAACAACCAAACTGAAATTTTTGTTACCAATATACCGGGTGTTTCAGGCCTCGCGGACAAGAAATATATGGCGATAATCTCTATATAATTTTGGAAAAAAATATCCAATGCATAGTTGAATCCAAACTGTAGTTTCATAACTACTGTGGTTTAAATTTAGCCAATCACGAAGTAGGATTAAACGTTAAACGGTGCTGGCACAAACGTTCTATTACCTGTGTCGATAATAAAAAAGGTAATGATAAGTACATGCTGCATTTCTAAATTGCATTTAGAGAGATTTGAGCCTCACTTCAAAACGACACGAGTAATGAAATGTTTGTACCGGCACTGTTCGGCGATTTGCCACATTTAAACTACTGCAGTTTTGAAACTAGAATTCGGATTCTAGTTTGCGTTAGACATTTTTTTCCTGAATTAAATAGAGATTATCGTCATATATTTCCTGTTCGCGAGGTCTGAGACCTTCCGTACATGTAAAACAGAAGGTAGGAACATTAAAAGGATCTTACGGTACAATTGCATTAATATAAACGGTTATAGATTGGACCCATTAGATCAAGTTTCTAGTACGAAAAATATAGTCAAGTTCGCCTTAGCACATCTCATTACCTCTTCCCTTGTCCAGGATTGCTGGACAAGCGAGGGACGTAAGTTCCAAAACCTCGAGGACGTCTTTCTGTTGCAGTCCGGCTCGATCGGCAAGGGCCATACTCTCTGCCAAGCCGGCCAACGTGACTCCAGCCATGAGTTGAAGCACCAGATTCATCTTTGAAGCGTTGCCGACCTCTCCTAAGTAGAAACTGTTTTTTCCCATTGCCTCGAAGCAGGATTGACACTCGTCGAACAAAGATCTGTCGCCTGCAGCCAAAATAACCAGGGTGCCTTCCTGAGCCTGAGTCTTGCTGCCTTGGACTTGTGCTTCCAGATAACGTCCACCCTTTGCGTTTATGGCCTCGGCAATGTCTTGCGACGTTTCGGCGTCAATTCCCGTCATTTCCACGTACCCCTTGTCCGGTGAAATTTCCATTAGAACGCCGCAATTGCCGAAAACCATCTAAAAAAAACCAAGAATTGCATTTTCACGTTGTTTAAAAAGTTGCTACTATACGTGTTGATGTATTCGTGAATGTTTTACGTACATCTTTAGCGGCTTGGGGATCGGCTACGCAGGAAAATGTTATGTCCGCTGCAAGCACCACGTCCGATGGTGTAAGTCCTTGCTCCGCTCCAGCTTTAACGAAATCGGTACACTGGAAACAGTAAAATAAAATTCATGAATATATTGTGTGATAAACTGAACAATGATGATGCTAATCAAAACGTTATTGTACAATAAATGTAATTTTTCGCTAACTTGTACTGGTTCTAAGTTAATACACAAAAGGTATCTTCCCCTTATTTGTACTTTTCACTAAGAATATTATTTTATGATGACGTCTAACTTTTGTTATTAAGAATAAATACACTATCGTAATTATGGCATTAGAATTTTGAAAAGTTATCGTTGAAAGTTTAACGCACGTACTCGGATAACTGATACAAGTTACGCGATGTTCCGACCATTCTAGTATCTTTGAACAATTTTTGCGTACAATGTTGATCGTTTTTTTAAACATTTGTCAATGTCTTATTGTATTTATATCCACCGATCGAGGTTTGTGATATATTTCATAGTACGGCCCTGACTTATTGATTTGTCTGCGCCATCTATCCGGCAGGGGGGAGACTCGCTACCCAATAGGAGTACCATGCGCCGCCGAGAGATGGCGCCACAGCGGGCAGCACCCGCTCCGTCGAGTCGACGCCCGTACAAGGACGGAAGGCGTTAGCCAAGCGAGAAGCAACAATGGCGTCCAATCCACATCGCCAACGGACGCCAAGCCGTCGCCAAGCCGATGTTCTCGACCCACAATTCACCCTGAACGACAGAATTCCATCCAAATCGTCATCGCCCCATCGCCGCGAGCCTCAAAATTACCCAGCGGCCCATCTAAATTCCTCGGTCGGTTTACAACGATGGTTGGCAACGACATAAAATGGCGGCCCTCGATTACCGAATGGACTTTCAGTCCTGTTCAGGGCAAGCGTTATCAAGTCGCCTTTCAAGACCTTGGCTGTCCGTCGTAAATTGAGTACACACGCGCACACCGCGCGCGCGTCGATAATCGAGTAAACGGCTCGATCGAACGCTCGAGAAAACATATTGGAGCATTCTCGAAACGACCGCGAACGTTCCCCTGTGGGCTCCGAGTGAACCCACGCGGCTCTTTTGCGTGGCCTTCTCGTTACGAGCAGGGTGCGCGCCCTTCCATAACGTGGGCATCATTCATTCGAGGGAGACTCGGAAACTCCGATTCTTCCGTACTCAATTCACCCTCGTCTTTCCCGTTGCGCTACTCGGTATAGGCTTTGTAGACGCAGGTGTTCATCGGGCGCGTGACGTAACGCGTTTTTTCCATCGCTAAGCAGAGTCTTTTCGAGCCGCGCGGTCTGCAACCTTTGGTCGCACGTTTATCCGGCAGTCGATATGGCCGACAGAAGCGCCCGCAGATTCTTCAAAAAGTGTAAGCAACCGTATGCATCATTCAAAAGAAAAGAACGTGCGTGCACGCATCCGAGCTCGGTGCGTTAACGTCTTTTCGGAACTCCGTATGAAGTTCACTCGATAAACGCACGCGTAAACTCTTCGGTGGCGGCTCGTTGCTATCGCGTCGAGCCGTTACTCGGTTCAGGCTACGCCACCGGAACGGAAGCACTGCCTCGCGTAAAGAGAGAAAGCGTGGAAGGAGCGAGAGAGCAAGACCACGAAACCGGATGGAATCGCGGGTGAGCGAGCTCCGAGCTAGCAAGAGAATCTTATATCGCCTGACGTGTATTTTGCGTACATTCGGCGCGATGGTTAATTATTTTTTACATCATCAAGAGGCAAACAATTCCGTTGATTTTGTGATTTTTAACGCGCACGTTATGTCCTGAGGATTAATAATAGAAATCCCCCCTCCCCCCGGGGAAGGGGGTTATTTCCCTAGATGATATTAATAGAAGCGTTATACAAAGGTAACGCTTCTTCACAGGAAGACAAACAAGGTCAAGAAATATAAACTACTATGGCATTCGATGTAATGATCAAATACTCAAATTCGCGTTACGTAATCCAATAAGTAACGTACGCTGGGAAGCATCGTCTTCGGGTTTATTGTCTATACTTTGAAAAAATATTCGATTTTCCCCCCAGCACTTTTTATCTTACTGATGTAATTTTAATCCCCTTCGTAATTAGCTGCTTTTCGAGAAGGTACCATTGCTTAACGTCTTCGCCTTGCTTTAACAACTTTGCAAGTATTTCATTAAACAGTTTTTTTTTTTTTACGTGTACGTCATCGTAAATGAGGCAACTCGTCACTTGTTTGTTCTCTCGGGGTTGTGTGGTGTCGATCTTTGCGCGCGCGAGATAAATATCCGAAGCCTACCGAGAGGATCTTCGGGAACTCTCGTAACTTTATACTCAATATGCAATCAGGCTTAACTCTATATTATACATCACGAGGTCAGCACAGGTCACTGCCCCACCTCTCGCGTACCAACGAGATAACAATAAAGGGAGGAGAGAGTGTACGCATTTCGGCGGGGTGCATACTAATGCACTGGAATGTTGTGTAAGCTCAACTGCGTGAACCTCATACGAGCGACGGCGTCGCGCTGTTTCTTTCTCGCTCGTTCGCCCGCCTATATACCCGCTCGTTTCTAATTGCGGCGCCGTTGCCACGTCGCCTCTTCGCCGCGGATCGGCTTCGGCCCGCATCGCTCGGAACTGTACACTGACGGACATGAATGCCTCTTCTTCTCGCGCCGGTGACATCGTATCCGCGAGGAAGGCATTCGCGTTCACTGATGTACATCTGACCATGCACATTTCACGCCTGGACATTCCAACAGAGAGAATACTTCCGGGCGGGTTATATGACGGTCTTTATTTCAAGCGAACATAATTTACTCCCCAGATGTTTACGCGATTACGTTGGGCGTTTACGCTCGTTCAAAAACGGAGTATGAATTAAGGTGATGTGAAAGTGGTGCCAAAGAGGTATCGTTTATCAAGCTTTTCTACAAACTGGGTGAAACTCGCCTCGAACTTGACAATCTGAATATGGAGGCTATAAGGAAGGTCCTGAAACCCGTGAAATTTCTATTTTAAGCTAATTTGTTTATGGCTACTTTCAACAATTTTAATAAGAAATGAAATTTCGCGAGTTTCAGGATCTACCTTAGGGTCTCCATATTCACGTTTTAAAGTATGAAACGATTTGAGACACCCAGTTCGTAGAAAAGTTTTATGAACGATTCAGCTTTCGGATGTCACTTTCACATCCCCTTAATATAAAATATCATTTGTAGATGGGGCCACCATGAGCATAGATTGTACTGATTTATTGGTTTTGTCTACTATTTATGAGACTTTTACAAATTCTTTCTGCAACGGCGCGGGTCGCTTGTGTTTGGGAACTCAAGGTTTCGAGATAACGTAGATATTTTCTTTTGAAATTTAATTTCCTTGAAGATGCTTCAGAACTTTACCTAGAATCTAGAATAACTCGGCGAACTTTGCAAGTGCCGTGCACGTTTCCGAGCTCGTGCTAAAGGAGATGTCAAGGCTATAAAGAGTGTTATAAATATTTAGAATATTTTGCTTCTTCGTTGCGAAGATAGAAATAGATTTGTTGACGTAGCGAGAACGACCGCTTGCATATTTCCGTCGTTCCTGATTAACCCCTTAACGCACAGATTTAAAAAAAAACCGTAAAAAAACGCTAGAACATTGTCTTGGCAAAAAAATAAAATTCTCGATTATATTCGAGTGTAAAAAATTATAGTAGCATAAAAAACAACGCCGCTCGAATTATCTTGAGTGTGCACAGTTTGGCCTGTTTAGCGCGCTCGAATTAACTCGAGCGCACAAGTTAAGGGGTTAATTTGTCCGAGCGATAACTTGAAAATAATTAAACACGTGGTTTCAGAACAGCGTTATCTCGTTTCGGTCTATTTTTCCTAGCTGTTGAAAACACCGCATTGGTAATGTAGAAACTAAAAACTAACAAATTAATGCACGTTTCCTAGCTCGTTGCGCTAAAGTAGATGTCAAGGCTATAAAGAGTTTTATAAATATTTAGAATATTTTCCTTCTTCGTTGCGAAGATACAAATAGGTTTGTTGGAAGCGAGAACTTGCATATTTCCGTTGTTCCCGATTAATTTGTCCGAGCGATAACTTGAAAATAATTAAGCACGTGGTTTTAGAACAGTGTTATATCATTTCGGTCTATTTTTCCTAGCTACTGAAAATAACGCATTGGTAATATACTAAACTAAAAACTAAAATTAATGCACGTTTCCGAGCTCGTTGCGCTAAAGAAGGTGTCAAGGCTATAAAGAGTGTTATAAATATTTAGAATATTTTGCTTCTTCGTACCGAAGATAGAAATAAGTTTGTTGACGTAGCGAGAACAACCACTTGCATGTTTCCGTTGTTCCTAATTAATTTGTCCGAGCAATAACTTGAAAATAATTAAACACGTGGTTTTAAAACAGCGTTATCTCGTTTCGGTCTATTTTTCCTAGCTACTGAAAACAACGTATTGGTAATGTAGAAACTAAGAACTAACAAATTTACAATATTTGCCCTGCTGAGGGTCACTAAGAATGATTTTTCTCCTACACCTTCGAATGCAGTTAAACAACTCCAAAATTATAGCATTACCAGGTTACTTTAAAATTGACAAATCACTTAAATTTCTCGTCTACGTGTTTTCGGAATATTATCGTCACTTGGGGTGAGCGGGTCTACGGATAGTTAAAAGTAGATCACTGCTGTCGTTTATCGATCGCATGTTAAATGTACATTCTTATTACTGGGATTACTCTTGCTCAATCTAACTTCACGCGAGGGAGTACATATTCGGTTCGGTTCGGAGTACATATCTAATCCAGAGTATATTGCGTAATATAGAATCTGTACGTGTGTAACTAATCTTGGCTATTAAGTCGATAAATTAATAAGTTTAACTGAAGTAGAAGTATTCGTTCCCTCATAGTTAAGACTGATAATCGCGATACCGATTGCAGATACGTTATCGCATGAGATGTATTTTTCAGCAATCCAGGCAATTTCCTAAGAGAGGTTAGAAATTTATATGAATGCATTGTCATACGAAGCATAATCGTCTTAAACAGTAATTTATTTCCTAAGGGTCAAT